GTATTACAATGTTCGAAATGTTTTCTTATGGGAGGATCCGGTTCTGCCAAGTATGTTGACAGTTGCAGCTTTGTCATCATCTGGATTTAATAATTCAAATTCTCAGCTTCTTGGAGAAGTTGACAGTGTTAATACTGAACCCCACCACAACACACCATGTTCAAATTTTAAAAAGCGGAGAAAGGTTTGTTATTTTATTAAATTATTTGATATAAAAATATGCAAGCACTAATTCATGTGATTAGTTTTGCATTATTAGTCATAAAAATAATTCATAATTTGTTAATAAAAACTTTCTACATTTTTATGGATTATTTTACTTCATATTTATCAAGAATATGGTCTGGAAGCTATCTCACAATTGATCATGTGACTAATACTTAACCTTTGAAAATAATATAATTCTAAATGAATATTTTACATTTTGAATTTATTTTTGGATAGATTTCGATATAGGTTCGACACTTGTATGAACTCAGTTTAATATATGAGTACGAGATAATTTGTCCTAATTTATCAAAATTAACATCATGGCGTTTTTACATATATTTTTAAATTTGTCAAGTAACAATTTAGTTTATGGCATTTATTCATTAATATTGTTTAATGTTTTCAGACTGAAATGTCCCAAAAGGTGTTCTAATGAGATTTATTTAGAATTAATGCATTCTTGTTGGAAATTTTCGCCTTCAGAGAGACGAACTTTTTCTGAATTAACTGTTGTTTCCAGTGAATTATTAAGAAGATCTAAAAATGAATTAGGAGACTTTTTAGGTTAATATACTTAACCTGGGATAGCCTTACAATATACTCAACTACACAATTGAATTAATGAATTAAATTGGATTAAGTAGTAATATTCTCTAAATTTTATTAGTTTGAATTATATAATCAATATTATGAATTCTCCACATTAAATTTTTAACATTTTGTTTCATTTTGTTAAAAATTTATTTTCTGTTAATTAATTGTAAAATGTACAAAGATCTGAATTTTAGTATATAATTTATTTTTTATCTGTGAAGATTTTTATACTTATTGTCTCTATTCATATATATTTTTATAATACAATTTTATTTTTATATGTATTACACATATGTAACAGTTAATTTTTCAAATGTATATTCTGAATATTCTGGATATAATCTTACCAAATTCAAAATTCTGAAATCTCATAATTTTATTAAGATTATGTGCAATTACGTACAAAGAGAAATATAATTTTATATGGATTTTATTTAATAATTGTTTATACATTCTGTGAATGTAATTATAAATATAAATTATACAAATAAGTGGATAAATTTTTTAAATAACGTTTTTTATAAATAATGAATTCATCATTTTGTAAATATTTGAAGGATTTTAATAGATATTTTATGATGTTAATTGACAAATCTATGTATGTATATATATATATATATATATATATATATATATATATATTTGCATATATTTACATAAGTAACCCACCGATATCTATGTATATATAATTACATACAATATGTATGCTGTAGATAATATTATAGTAGTTAGTAAGAAAATGGTTTTATAAAAATTTGTGTTTAGTAGTATATTTGTGAAAATAAATTTGTATTTGCGATGATAGAGCAAAACGAAATTCTTATGCATATAGTCCCACTCAATTGGTGCCTTTTATATTATTTAGATATTTAACTTATGTTTTAAATAAGTATAATACATATTTTAAAGTAGTTTTAATAGATCATTAGGTCATGATGATATAATATAATGTTTATGATGGACTATGTGTTTTAATATTTTATATTAGAAAAATCTTTTATATGTGTCACTTAGTTATCACTTTTGTATGTTGTAAAGTGTATACTCATAGGATGAATGAAACCACAAAAATGATAAATTTATGCTTACAAGATAGCTAATCTAGTAAATCCGCAATGGTTTGATAAATATAACCACACCATCCATTATCAATAAAAATCTAAATCCTCAAAACAAATATTGAAGAGTATATAAATATCAAATTTTGAGAGAGAATCATTTGATATTTGACGATTGACAAGGTAAGTGATAATTTTATTTATATTGCAAAAATATTTTTTTAATAGTATACTGAATTAAAGCTAATATTTTCTTCAGTATAATATTAAAAATATTTAGCAATTATTTTACTATTTTATTATTTAAGTAAATTTTAAATATTAGATGAAGTGTGGTCTGTGACTATATGTTTTAATAAACTTACTTATCGACATCATCAAAATAATATTGGTATTATTGAAGAGTAAAATGATTTAAAGAATTTATTCAACGCTGTTAGTACCATACATAATATATATATATTATATGAAAAGTGCCAATAAAAAAGTGGATTTTTATAGATAATTTATATAAACAATAAAAATATTCACCATTTATGTTACTCCAATATTCATCATTTTTGCAATCTCCTCTTCAGAAGATTTATTTATACTTTAGATAAATTCTATAGAATTTTTAAATATATATATATATATATATATATATATATATTTATATATATATATATATATATATATATATATATATGATAAAAATTGTTTCTTGGGCATCCATCCAATAATTAAAAAAACAGTTTTAATGCAAAATGTTTTAATTAAGAGAACATACGTTTCGGGTCCAGATTTGACCCATCTTCAGTGCATACAAATAAATTTTAAAAAAATATAACACAAAGAACAACACAAAAATGCAACGAAAAAATAAGTATGAAATAAAAAATTGAAAAAACATCAAGTTATGAAAATTTTTTGAAAATTGTAAAAATTAAAATAAATAATATGTTTTATTGTAAAAAAGCTTATTCCAAAAACACATCTTGTTAGTTTGGAGACAGAGTTACGTGTGAAATTAATTTTTACAATTTTCAAAAATTTTCATAACTTGATGTTTTTTCAATTTTTTATTTCATACTTATTTTTTCGTTGCATTTTTTGTGTTGTTCTTTGTGTTATATTTTTTTAAAATTTATTTGTATGCACTGAAGATGGGTCAAATCTGGACCCGAAACGTATGTTCTCTTAATTAAAACATTTTGCATTAAAACTGTTTTTTTAATTATTGGATGGATGCCCAAGAAACAATTTTTATCATATTATTTCACCATCTGAAGAAAAACCTCTCGCTTTATATATAAATAAAATAAATAAATAAATAATGATAAAAATATATAATTAAACATATTAATACTTTTCGAATTTAATACAATCTGTTATTTAATTAAATAGAACTATAAATATAATAAATAATAATAGTTATTATTATTATTAGTTTATTTAATTTTTTTTTTAATTTTGTTTACTCAGTTTGCCAACATATAAATAATATACAACATAATGAAGTTAACAGAACTTGTTAAAAATAAATGAAACTTCAAATTAACTGAAAGTTATGAAAAATAAGAACTAGAATATAAAAATATTTGATACCGCTGCATAAATAATCGACATTCAATTTTTAATAAATAATAATTAATAATAATGAATAATTGGTTTACCAGATGCCATTTTAATATTATGTGCAAATGCGTGTGAAATGATGAATAGACGCCATGATACATACACATATATAAACCCAGAATGTATCAAACCAAATTAAGGTTATGTTTTGTGTTTTCAAATGCTGCTGTTTATAAAAATTCTAAATAATGTTAATGTGCAATTTGAAATTTATTAGTGATGTTGGATTTTCGGTAACCAACAAAAAATGGAACAATCTAGAACCGCAGAGTGGTATGTTACATGCTTTATTACGATACTAATTGTCAAAACCGGTTTAGTAGAGGTTATATGTGTTATGTATATATTTTCAAGACTTTATTTCAATTTATATTTACTTGATATTAGCATGTAGAAATAAATCATATCATGCGGCACATTTTACAATTTAACTTTATTTGCAAAATTATTGTTCGGTAACGAATTTTCCATTACCGTTTACAAAATTGTTTACAAAAAACGTTTGTAATAACATTTGCGCCATTATTATGTAAATATAATGTATGAACTAGTCTTGAATATGTGTATGTTTTATGTTAATATTATACGTAACAAAGACATGATTCATTATTGTACTATGAAAATCGTTGCAAAATAATATATCGTTGTATTAGTACGTATATGTTGACTTTAAAAATCATAAGTGAGTTATTCCCCATCACGCACATAAACAAAATATTCTGCTTCGTATCAGATCTTTATTAATTTCAATAACTGTGTTAAAAATAGTTTTAAGTTACAGTTAAATTTGTTTATATTTGGTTAAGAGTATCTAATCAAATACCGGCAATTTTAAATACAAGTGTCTAATAATAGGATAGGATTCATAAAGTATTGTAAGTTTATGACTCATATTTTTATAACATTTTCATGAATAATAGATTATAGAAATATCTTGAGCCTATTGTTTTAGGTACTTTTTTACATTCATATCATACTCTATTTTTAATGCATTTTAATGTAATCAATAATTGATATTTTAGTATCTAAAACTTCTACTAACTTTTTAAATATAGTATTTGATATTAATAATATTTGGCCGTAGTTGAAGGAGCGAACTTAATCTTTGCAATGGTAGCTTCATTTGCATGCAAACCATTTTCAAAATTGTATGTTTAGCCCTTTCCACTCGCGAATTCCGAGATTTATATGAAATTTGCCGCCGGCAGCATCCGAGTGGAAAGGGTTGAAGTGAAAATATTTCAATCAAACATTATTAATTTTCAAAAAAATCGCGAACTATTTAACATATTATTTCAATCGTTATATGTATTATCAAACAACAATAAGATCGAATATTCATACTTATTTATTATTTCAATTTCTAATTAAATTGCGGTAATATAAGTTTCACAAGGAGGAGAAATGTTACAGTTTTATGTAAAATAATATCTTATTTACCGTCAATTTATGAATAAACTAGTGGTGTATGGCATCGTGACTTAAGGCAAATTGCTGGAACTTTCCGTACCGTAACGAAATGTTCGAGGAATATTAAATGTTTTCAAACAGATTATTACAACTACTGTAACATTTACTATAATATTTATAAGAATTATATAAACTGAATTGCAAAGTTAAAAATATTTATTTAAAGTATATAAGTGAGCTTTAGAACTTTAGCCAGAATTAAAATTAAAATCTGAATTATTTTAGATATACAAAAAAAATAATTTCAAAATATTTTTTTTTCCAAAAGCATTTGTTTCGTCAACACAAGCAAATTTTTCAAATCGGATGCTTAGTTTTTTTCACATTTAGCACCTTATCTCCGTAACGATGTGACTAGTTTTTGCCTTTGCCAAAAACTTGTCAGTACATCTACCTATCAATAGAAATCGAATGCTTTTTGAACCATTCAAATTAGTTGATCCGTGTGCCCGAAAACGTGGACGATAAATCCATATATGTGTATCCATACATACACACACATCAATTTTTTCTAAGGTATGCCAAAATGTTCAGAAAACTCTTGAACGTGAAGATATGCAAAAATTTTCATTTTCGATTTTTCGCCCATTACTATAACTTACCCCACGGGAATTTAAAAATATTGAGAATAAATATAGAATAGCAAAAGAACCTCTTAATATGTTTTTTCTTGATCTGGAACCAAATAGAAATAACAAAAATTTATAATATTTACAAATTATTCAATTGCATAATACGCGTCGAACCTCCAAGAAAGTCTAACAACATAATACAATGCACTAGCTGTCAACTCTTTAATCACACCAAAAAATACTGCAATAGAAATATGTTTGTCCTATAATTCCGGTTTAAAATGATGTTGATATTTTTTTTCAAAAGATGATGGTCAATAATATAGTAGTAGTATATTATTGCATTATTTTTAAACTTATTGTGGAAGAAGGAAAATCTCACTACTAAATATTTCTCAAAAATATGTTAAATAGCTAATTTAATGTTTTTTCGGTCTCTTGAATCATTCTAGATCGTTTGGAACCAAAATTGGAAAAAGTATGTTTCAAATTTTGACTTTTCGTCAACGTTTTCTCAAAAACGGCTAAACCGATTTTAAACATTTGAAGTCTCTCTATGGAACTCGATAAGAATCATAAGGATTCGCGTTGACTATTTTTGCTCGGCCATCGGCCAAACTTTTTCTTAATAATTTGCAGGAATATTTCAATTTTTCATCCAAGGTTAGCAAAAAATTTTGAAACAATTTTGAAAAATTAAAAAACGTTCGAAAGTCAGCAGTTAGCCTTTTCTTTGTTCATTTCATTTCTTCGTTAATTTTTTTGTTTTATGATGACAAAGTTCTTGAATTTTACGAACATCCTAAATTATTTTGAGCCTACAAAAAAGGTTTAATTATAAAAATTAATTAAAGTTTGTAATAATGTGTTGGAACAAAATTTCAAACTTCTATCGTGCCATTTTTAAAAGTTGCTATATATTAATTCATATTGAATATTAACTTCCCGTAGGGTAAGTTATAGTAATCGCAAAAAATCGAAAATGGAATTTTTTATATTTCTTTAGGTTTTAAAGGTTTCTAAATATTTTGGCATACCTTAAAACATGGATGTATGTGTGTGTGCGGATACAAATTTTCGTCAAAAAACATTTGATTCGCATTGATAAGGAGACGTGCTGATTAGTTTTTGGCGAAGGAAGGTTTAGCCGTTCCGAAGATACAGGGCAAAAAGTGCCAAAAACGGTAACTCAGTTTTTAAGATTTACTTGTATTGACAAGATAATAAACTGAGCAAATTTTTGGGAAGGCAGGTCTAGCGGTTATGGACTCTCAATAAAAATAAGTTAAAAAAATGCCTTTTGACGGTCAAAAATGATCATAAGACATATGCGCATCAAATTATCAGATATTTTGTAGAGATTTTCATAATATGTACATATTTTGTGTAAATTTTATTGGGTTCCGTACCAAGATTTTTAATTTTGATGTTTATTTATATGGTTCAAACAAATGCTCTCGACAGTATGGAATAACCGATTTGGATAATTTAAAAAACATCCGATTCGTATTGATTTACACATTGTGTTTTTTTTTTTTTGGTTCCGTACCAAGATTTTAAATTACGGTACGGGAAGTTCTAGCAATTTGCCTTGCACCCCACTAGTTCATATTATATTTACACATTTCGGGAAATTTATGCAACTTGCTTTAGAAAAAATGCCCCTAACTCAAAAATTCTCCCAATCGTGATTGATACGATAATTATGAAAGCGATTGGTTAAATCGACAATTTATATCTAGACAAATTGTTAATAATAATATATTTCGAATCTGTGTAATAAATGGAGTTTCGAATATATATATATTTGCCTGGAATTAGCCACTCTATATATGTGTGTGGTTTAATTTAAAAACGTTTGATATTGCACGTTGTTTTATGGCGTCAAATCACGCATGAAAATGCTTTGTCTACGTCACGTAATGCGGTGACGTCTTTTATATAAATCCATAAATAACCGAAACGATGATTTTTCTAGTTGTTATGAAATCTCTGTTATATTTTTCAATGAAATATCTACTCGACGATTATTTTTATTATACGTTTCCTATACACCCAAGTTGTGCTTTTGAAAATAAAGAAAATATATAAATAAGGTACCTAATAGTCGAATGATTTGGTAGTAAAACGATTTCCAATGTAACTTTTTATTATTTGGCGAAATTGTTCAAATTTGCATGTTCTAATGTGTAGAAAAATGATTCATAATATGAAAATTGAAATTATGTTACTTCATCGGCTCTAACAGCAAATGCATTGTGATTTTTTAAGTCGCAATAAAATATATAAATAATCAGATAGCATTGAAAAAGTCACGTCGCCGATTTTATTGCTTTAGAAATTAAGCGTAAATCTAGCATTATGCTATTAAATACTTACCATATTCAAACCAATCTTTGATTTTTTATCTGTTTTAGATGTTTAACTACTCTTAATCACAAAAATAGCTCGACCAATATTTACAAAATATTAATAAATGCTATTACCAATTGATATTTTTGAATTTATTAATTTTTTTAAATCCTTGACTTTTTTAATAAATGAAAAATTAATTTTTAAAGTGTTAAAGTATTGCGCAAAAGTAGCTCGGCTGATCTCTATAATAAAGAAAAAACATCTAAACGGATCAACATTGACGGAAATTGAATCTACTGATACTTTTTGAATTGTTTAAATTTAAAAAAAAAACTATGCACAATCTTTGCTTACACAATTTACTATTGGAATTGGTATCTTTTAAACAAATTTTGAGTCATCTTTGAGTATTTCAAATCGGAATTTGAGAAAAGTTGGACAATTAATGTTATGTTTGTAAGACGAAACGATTATCATATGAAATCGGTGAATTCTAACGATAATTTGAGACTGTGTATTTTTAAAAAAGTGATAATTAACTGATTCCCAAATAATCCTTTAAACGAATTGTTAATTTTTAAAATTGAATCTAGATTTTTTAACTTCCCGTAGAGTAAGTTATAGTAATCGTAAAAAAATCAAAAATGAAATTTTTTATATATCTTTACGTTCAAAGGTTTCTGAACATTTTGACATACATTAGAAAAAATGGATGTAAATGTGATTGTGTGTGTGTGTGCGGATACAAATTTTCGTCGACGATTTTGGGAACACCAATCAACCTATTTAAATAATTCAAAAAATATTTGATTCATATTGATAAAGAGACGTGCTGATTAGTTTTTGCCAAAGGCAGGTATAGCCGTTCCGAAGATA